AATGGCAATTAGAAAGTGCCGTACACGCTCGTCACCTCGTTCTCCAATATGACATTTTAGAACTAGAATAATTCCAGAACTTAAAAATGGTTTAGGCTACAGTGACAATCTTGAGATGTTTGTTGATTCCTCTTTCGTGGAATCAACAAACATCTCAGCAGGTTTCAGAGCGTGACGTGGCACCAAGATGGTTAAAGATTACATGTGTCACCAAGATGGTTAAAGATTACATGTGTCACGGTGGGCGCTTTCCATTTGACCAAAATTTTCGAGATTTCCGGTCAGAAATCGAATGGAACGGGAAAAGTTCCGCGATAAGTTTTCGAAAATTTAGGAATACGTTTTTAGTGTACCCTCTTAGATACGGTCGGACGCGTTCCATTCGGCCAGCGAAAATACCGACATTTTGAACCCGTGATTTTTGTTGAATGGAAAGCGACCCTTGTCACCTAAAACCTGTCAATAAAACACCTTCATGTCAACAATATTTTATCATAAAGGTAAAACAAACATGACTTTGCAAACATAGCCGTGTCAATTTTCAAATCCCGACAAATCCAAAAGCGCGCCATCCTAGATATAAGCTGATCGGTTTTGCACCTTTTTCAACTTCAAATCGCGAAATTTGATTCTAAGAAGGGACAATTGAAAGAATGTAATTATTTTGCATCGATACAGCCCATAGAAGGGCTCTAACGAGCAAATTGCTAATGGTAAGTTTATCCCACTAGGGTAAACTTTACCCAGCAGTAAACTGAAACAAACAAAGCACTCTGATTGGTCAATTTGGGTAAAAATTACCCTCATGTGGTAAATGTTTTTAGGGCATATTGTTTTTCATAAGGGCACAATGTTTTAGACATGTGTTTATATTTGATTTGATTGTCATCTTTTTTTTCTAACTAACAGTAGCTTTAACCATGTATTAGGGGTGCTTTTAGCTGGAAAGAGCTTTGTAGAGTCTCATGGAACTGGATACATGGATATTGTAAAGACAGATACATAATCAGGTTTAAATGCAAGTAAGTTTAACTTGTTAAGTAATTAAGGGAGAAGGTTTAGAAAAAATCTGTGGTGCCTTATTGGTGGGTATACTCCAAGATAATTTGGTTTTGTAAACCGAGTTGTTAATTGTTCTCTATAAAGAGCTGCTGAAGCTAACTTCAGTGTATTTCCATCCCCTCTATCCCCTTCCCTTCATCTCCTCTCTCCTCTTTCCCCCTCCCCTCTCCCCTCTTCTCCCTTACTATCTCCCCTCTTCTCCCCCCTCTCCCCCTCTTTTACCCCTTCCCTCTCCCCCATCTTCTCTACCCCCAAACTATGTTAAACTTACCCAAGACATGGCAACTGTTTGGTTTCTTATTATGTTTGGATGAAAATTATACCGTACAGTATTTTTCGTAACTTTCCCAGGGAGTTTTACCTCCATTGATTTATTAATTGATACCAACTAACAATGGACATGGACATAAAACTTAATATTAATTAAATTGTTCATTTCTATTGCAAGCCTTATGCCATGGATTCAACTGGGAAGACCTCGGCAACTGTTTGTGGCCCAAGCCACTGATATTATTGTGTATCAGTTAAGAAAACACACAAAGGGGGGACAGTTTTTGTGGAAACCTTTGACAACCTTTGGTGGTCACCAGGGTGATATCAGTAAGTTTGTCATCACTGAAGGGCAGTTGTTAACTTGTGGTATGGACAAGTCAGTCCGCACTTGGAGTCTGGAAACGGGATTATGTAATGGTGTGTACCTTGGGCATACTGGAGAAGTTCACAGTCTAGACTGTTTTGGAGAAGTAATAGTTTCAGGATCCAGAGACAAAACCATCAAGGTTTGTATGCTACATGCAATTTTTAACTAGCACAAACAGAACACTCTCAGACTGGTTTGGTTGGAGGACACTAGTAGTTTATATTGATTAAAAAGTTCAAATTCTATCTTTAACTAGTATAATTTCAGAGCTGAGTAAGGAGTTTCCAGCAATCTGATTGGTCGAGCAGTTCCTTATATGACACTCTATAAACTGCTCCACGCGGTTTATTTAAAATGTTAAAATAAAATGTTAATAAATGTTACTGAAATGTTATGATTTTAGAAATTTCTCTGTTGTTCAGCTCTGAAATTATACGAAAACAATTATTCACCTCAGGCTGTGAATATTGTTGAATAATCCCCTCGACTTCGTCTCGGGGATTATTCGACCATATTCACCTTGCCTTTGGCGAATAATTGTTAATTATAAGCAGGATGTAACTCAATTGTTAACCCTTTAAATACCCTGAGTGACCAATTTCTCTTTACAATATAAGTACAATATCAAGCAGCCAGGCATGTTTTTATAAATTATTCAATAAGAGAAGCCTTCTTGACCCATTTAGGTATGGTGTCAGCAAACCCAATCTTGTGTCCACACCATTGATATTCAGGATAATGTTTGGTCAGTTTCCCTTAATCCAAGCACCAGGTATTT